CCGCTCTTCTCTCTCCCTTTGCTCAGATTTTCTTTTTCTGCTTCAATTTTCTGAAGCACATCACCTCTGAGGAGTTCTCTGCTCTGAAGTCGCAGAGGTAAGGAGCCTGTGCCTGCTGCTGCTTGGGTTGCAGAGCCAGGGAGCTTGTTAGTGCTATTTCTTCGGGGAGATGGAAGCCCTGGTGTCCTGGCCCAGTTTTCTATAATTTATTCTGCGCTCTGAAGGCTGCAAACGGGGCCGAGGCTTGTGAGGTGCCACGTTGTGCTCTGAAAAACTGTCCATGCTGAAATGTGCTCTCTGCTTAATGACTGTCCCTGGCTGCTTCAGCACGGATGAACCCAGAGCCACGTGCTCTGGCTCAGGCAGGCTGCACAGTCAGGCACTGCTGGGGGGAGCTGGGTGGCTGGTTTTTAACAAACCACTAAACATTAACCCCTTCCTGTTTCAGGAGGGGCAGAAAGAAACAAAGCCCACCGTGGAGGCTCTGAATAAGCACACCTGCCTGCAGCCTGTTGCCACCCTCTCGAAGCACGGGGTGTGTGGGCTGGGACTGTTAGGAGAGTTGGACACTGCACACCAGCCCCATCCCCTCCCCTCTGCCCCTGCACAGCTAACTCCCCACTGCTCTAATCTGTGTGCCCCAGGATGTGGCGATGGATGGCCAGCCCCCACACAGCCCTGACGCGTTGCTGAGCTAACTTGGTCTTTCCTTCCTCAGGAGGAAGAGTTTGCCACCAGGCTTCACCCTGGAAGAGATCTGCATGCTCAGTGAGTGCTGCTGCTGAGTGTCAGTGCCCCTGGGTGCCGGTAATGATTGATGGTTTGGGGGCTCGGGTTGCCAGCATGGAGGTCACTACAAATGGGCATGCTCCCCTTGGGGCCTCGCTAGAACAGAGCCCCAGGGCACGTGGGAAGTGTATTGCTTGAAGGGAGACAAAGTGAGCGAGACCAGGCTGATCCTCAGGTAGCTCCCTTTTCTTTTTTCTAGAGCAGAGAGACCGAGGCAGCACCACAAGTCTGAGCAGCGACTTCTCCCTGGGGATGGAAAGTTCCCCTGGAGCAGCTGGGAGCTTCACCTATGAAGCAGTGGAGCTGATGCCAGCAGGAGCACAGGCTCAAGCAGCATGGTGAGGAGATAACCGCTCAGCAGGCTCCAGAGCAAAAGGGACAGGCTCTGAGCACAGCAGAAAGGATACTTCTGAAATCCTTCACCCTCTGGGTCTGCCCTCTGTGGCATGGGTTCCTTATGGCGGAGGAAGGGATTTGGCTCTCAGAGGCTTTGCTGCAACTTGTGCTACAGAATTTCTGTACCAAAAATGAGAGACCACCCCATGTTAGAGACTGTCAGGCTTCTGCCAGGGGTGCTCCTGAAACTTGTCCCTTGATGAGAGTAAAGTAGCTTTGTTTTATTTTCACCAGTTTCACTGCTAAACTTCATCCAGAAAGAGTTTCATTACTTTTAAAAGATGGTTCCAAACTGCAAGAAAAGTTACATTTGGTAGCAGACTCCCAAGGGAAAAGTGGAGACAGTTTAGCTGTCCTAAAATGAAGCTTAATCAGTTTATAGAAGAGATTATACAGGGGAGTGTCTGCAGTGATTAGTAGGTGGGCTGGGTGGCCAAGAATCCCCTCAACTTCAGCCCCTCTAACAGCATGAGGTGTGAGCTGAAAGCGGGTTGCTGCCTGCAGTGTTGCTTAGAGATACTTCTAGGGGAGAAGGTTAAATTCTCAGTGCTCCCTGTTGACAGAGGGTCACGTAGGACTTGCCTAGGGATGCAGGTGGCTGTTGGGAAGTGGGGACTGGGGAACGTGGCTGCTCTGGGACAGGCGTTGTGCTTGCTTGTGGACTTTCTGGTGCTGTTTGGGGATTTCAGAGCCTTGCTGTAGGGTTGCCCCTCTCAGTTTAATTTTCCTCTTCTCTCCCTCTGCACTTGTGAAGATGCTATTTTATATTGCAATTATTTTAAATTAAATCTGGGTTGTGCTGGAGGCAGTTGGAAGCCCTCTGGGACTGAGCCTGTAGCCATGCTAGTGGCAGCAGTCTTTCTAAAGCACACTGTGATTCAATTTATAAAATGCTGAAGAGGGGAAGAGAGAATCTTCTTGCAGAGTCACAAAATGGAGAGTCCCAAACTGTGTTTGCTCAGTGAACAGTGCAGAGTCCTCAGACACACAGAGCCTACCTGTCCCCACCAAAGCGATGGCAGCAGGTAGAGAAGAACTTTCCCCTTGCCTGGCTGCAGGGTAGTAAACTGGAAGCACTTAACGTTGCTCTGAGTGCTCAGGACATACAGACTAGATCCTGCAGCACAAAACCTACACGTGATTTCCATGATTTTCACAAGATGGGAAGTGGCCAGAGCATGCTGGAAGAGAGCTGCTGCACTTGCGTGGATCAGGGTTTGATTTTCTGATGTGTTTTCTAATTCTGGTTTGCTTTCATTCCTGTTGGAGACATCGGGGTGTGTTGGGGCTCACAGCTGCTGCCACAGGGATGGTTTGGGTGCATGCTGTGGGCATGAGCTTGGGGAAGGGAGGTCTGTGAGCCTTGCCATGAGGGCTCAGCAAGGGGACTGGGTGCGGGGGGCTTGCTGCGGGTTGTTGTGGTGGAGTAGCCTGGAGAACGGGCAGGGCTTGCTACAAGCTGGGTAAGCTGGACTGTGCATAGCATGAGTGGGGAGAGGAGGGGATGTGCTTCATTGTGTTATTCCCAAAACACATGGCCTCGAGGTCTACTTGCAGGGAGAGCCATTTGGGTTTTAGCTCTACAAGCCTGTTTCTGCACCCTCTGCTTGGACATGTTGGCAGCTATGATAACATGAGAAGAGAAATGCTCAAGAGAGGCTGTAGTATGATGTTTGAGGGTGGACACGCTTCAAGAAATGCAGAGAGGATATTGTGCTTTCCCCTATACAATGAGCCTGTCTTTAGCTGCACTTGCTGACAGCACTCGAGATCTCAGTCAAAGCTGAAATGCCCTTCCAGATTTCAGGAAGAACAGCATCCTTTCTCCTTGAGTTTGCTTTAGACTTTTCCTTTATACTTGTGCACATAGGGAGGTCTTTGTCCAGTTCACTGTGATTTTTGGAAGGGGAAAAATTCTTGGGACTTTTCCAGTAAATAAAAATCTTCTGAACATGGAGCAGCGGTGGCTTGAATTGGTTCCAAATAGGTGTGCTGTTTGGCATGTCACTGAATGGCACTGTGAGCTAGGGCCTGATGCAGCAATGGACAGCGAAACCGCCAGTCCAAACGCGTTGGCTAGAAAAGAAGCTACAGCAGTTCCAGGCTTCAGCACAGCCAGGGAGAGGACTGAGATGCACCTACATCTGCAGCGACTGTCAGCTCTGAGCACATGGCCAGAAGTGTGCTCAGTGTTGCCTGAAGGGAATCACTAAAGGGAAAATAACACTGGTGGTGTGTCCCTGTCACTGTGATCAGCGCACACAAACACCCACCTGGGCTGAGCCCCTTGGCTGATTCACTCTGCAGAGCTGGAGCAGATTGAAATGGTCTTTCCCTGCTGGGAGGCCCCTGCTTGAGGCGTTTTTTTGCAGCTAGACTAAACAAAGCAGTTGCTGTATGTGTGTGGGCTGAAGCATTCTCCGTCGCTGATTTCCAGGTCACGTGGATGGTGATCTGTAAAAGAATGGGCTAAGATGGGTTGAGCTCAATGTACCCATCACTGAGTGGTTACCCGTGACTCATGGGAGGAAGGCAGGTTCAGTGGGAGCAAGAGCTTGTAGCTGCTGGGGTAAAATCCAGTCTGTTGTGGAAAGGCTTCCTAACTGGAGTAGGTGGGAAAGCCAGCTTTCTCACCCACGCCCTCCCTCCCACAGGAGGAAGAGCTGTGCGTCGTCACCACAAGCCACGCTCTGGAGCAGGGCACAGCAGTCTGAAGACAGGCTGTCTTCTGCAGGGATGGTTGAAGTCAAGTCCTCCAGCTCATCCTCATCAACCCACTCAGATAACTTCCTGAGGATTGGAAGCAGCCCACTGGAAGTGCCCAGATCGAGGTGAGATGGGACAGAATAGAGCCTTTCTCAGCAAAATGAGTGTCTGGTGAAGAGAGTGCAGGGCTGCACTTGTGTGGCTCTGAGAACCCTGGAGCATATGTGTGTATCTACAAACAAGCTCAGAAGGCCTGTTCCTCTCTAGCCTGACCTTGTGTGAACTGCTGGCCATTAAACACAAACTCCTGCCTCGGCCCTTTTAGAGGAGCGAGTAACAGTGCCCCTAACAGCTTGGTGTCTGGTCTGCCTGTCCCCAGCGCATGCCTCAACTCCACGAGCTCTGGCATCTCTGCCTCCTGCGTGCTTGGAGCTCACAGCACTTTCTCTGTCAAATGCATCTACAGGGGTTTGAAATGGCTGTGGTGTGTGGGCGAGGAAGTCTTTCAAACCAGACAGACCTCACTCTGCATCTATCCTGTCCTCCTTTCCACCTGCTGACCTTCCTGACACTGCAGGGTGGAAGAAAATCTCTGGGTGTTGGTGGTGAGCAGAGGTGGAGTCTGCTGGGAGCAAGCTGTGGGTGCTGAGCCAGCACAAAGGATTTTACCCGGAAGGCCGAGTGCTCCTGCTGGGCAACCAGGGAGTGGGGACCCTGGTCCTGAGCCTAATTTCATGCCATAAGAAAGGATATTCTGACACCCTCCTGGAGTCGGATGCTGCGGAAGGGCAAAGTCGAGCGGTGAGCTGGGCTAGGGAAGAGAGAACAGAGCCTGTGGAGCAAACACCATGTGTTTAGGCCGACAGGGGATAAAGAGGCTCTTGGATAAGAGGTTGCTGTTAACAGCATCAAACACTTATGTAGTCTCTGCAGGTTTACCAGTGAGTCTTTTTCTAGTGATTCTCTTCAAAAACAGCCACCAGCCAAATTTTAGTACTCTCTCATCACATGGAAAATAAAATGGCAAACAAGTAAGGCATTGAAAATTTATAAGACTTTCTTATCAAGTTTCTTGATTCCAGAGAAAAATCACTGGCTGACTGTTTTCATAAATGATGCTAACAGTTCTCCCTGGGGAAAGAGATGAACAGAATGGGTTTGAGCTGTTGCTGGGGCCCACCTCTACATTCTCCATAAGATGGAACAGATCTCCAAAGAGAAGAAAATATTGAAGAGAAAATAGCCTTTCTTGGGGCTGCTTTTCTTCACGACAGCAGTGCCACAATTCCCATGTGTGGTCTGATGGCATTCCCAAGACCTGACAGGTTGCTCAGCACTGGGCTGGTAGCAAGCTTGCAGCAGTGCTCTGGAAGAGGCAGTTTTTAAAGCTTCAGTCAGACTCTGCTCTGTGAGAGTGATGAGGAGAAGCAGAGTAGGCAGAAGAGTACCACAGGAAGGAGCTGAGCACACAGTCCTTGGGATTTACATTCAGGGGCTTGGAGTTGGTAAAGCCAGCAATAATATTCCATCTGGCTGTTTCTTGATGGGGTGTCTATAAGCTTTTGGATGATTAGTGCCCATTGGTGGCAGAGGATCACATCCAGCACCCCCAGGACTTGAGGCAGCTCGCAGGCATAGAGGGCAAGCTCGTTACTTCCAGGCCAGAGTCCCTGGGGGTTGCTTTTCCCCATGCCTAGTAATTATCCCTGGGAAGGAGCTGCAGTATTCTGTCATTGTAAGAGATAAACATTCTGTGAATTCCACTATAAACATTTTTCTTACCTTTATGATAGCTTCTGCCATGGCACGAAGCCTTTATAGCCCTTCAATAGGGCATGACTGGGAACCCACTCCCAATCCCTGTTAGCTTTTGTGAACAAGGCATTGTGAAGGGCTGGGCTAGAAAAAAGCACATGATGAGGGAATAGTGGATAAACGGGGAGCAAACCCCCTGCACAAGCTGGAACCAAGGGGACAGGAGAAGGGAATCAGTTGTGAAGCCAAAATGGTACAATCAGCTGCATGCAAAGATGGTTAGCCTGCTACACCTGTGCTGGGTGGAGACTGTACACCTGTATGCTCTCCGTCTTCAGTGTCACCTGGATTTGTCCTGCTCCTCTGGGTGTACAGGCTGGAGGAAATACACCTAGAGACCCCACAGGGAGTGGGTGGAAGTGACAAGGCAACAGCTGAACTGAGCTTCTCTTTTGAAGCAAGTCTTCTGGCACATTCACACTCCTTTGCCTCCTAGTCCACTGCTAGATCAGTCAGTCTGTGCCCTGCCTGCCTTCCCTGGGGTAACACTGCTAGCAGCTCTGCTAGCTAAGGGCTTGAGCACTGTGTTGCCTTCTCAGACACTGACACAACTTGCACTTCTGGGGGCCTGAACATGGTATGTTTTCTCCCGAGAAAGGGTTATGTCACTGCACTTGGCTTTGGTCTCCCTGCTTGGACTATGTTAGTCTGAATTTGTCTGGTGGGCTCCATGCAGGTGAGGGATATGACAGTAACTTCAGCCATCATTTTCCAAGCTGAAGGAAAGAATAAGTCCCGTTTTGGGTGGAGGAGGAGTGTATCTGTGATGGAGAGAGGAAGTAAATTCTGTCCCTTCACCCCCTGAAAAATGGTGGGACTAGGATGGAAAGGCTAGAGCACAGAGACTAATCAGGATGCCAAAAATAACCTGCCAGCAGCACTGTAGAAATAAAGGTAACACCCAAGGCTCTTAAGATGAAGAAACTACTGTACTTGACTTCCTAATCCTCTGGTTGTGTGGCCATAGCAACAAAACACTCAACCACGGCAGCAGCAGTTGGGGAAAAATGGTTGCTGGTAAAATGGCAGCAGGCACCCTTCAGGTAGTTCGCGTGAGCAGCCCAGTCCTGGTGCCAGCAGGCAGGGGAGCTCCAGAGGGAATGGGATGGCAAGCAGCAAAGAGATGATCAGAGCCTGGGAGGGGAGCTGGGGTCTCCTGAAGGAAGGAGTCACAAACGCTGAGTTAGCCATGGCAGGGGAGCCGAGCCCCGCTTCTGGCTGGGCCGTGTCAGCAGGCTGCTCTGCCATTGCCTCACCAGCCCAGCTGCAGAGTCCTGCTCTGATCCAGAGCTCCTGGGTTCCTGTAGATCCCAGGCTGGTTTTTGTTAGAGCAGTACAAAGGCAAATTCCTAGCAGTCTTTCTAGCTAAAACAAATGCGGTGGTAGGATCACATCTGCTGAGGGCAAACACGCCAAGATCCTGCATAGATGATTTGCAGAGCAGCACAAGGTGCTTCTTACTCTACAAACAGAGAGCTCCAAGTGTGGCAGACAGCGTGCACTGAATGGAGCTCCCTGCATGCGAGTGGGTAGCAGCTCGCGAGCCGTGCTCCGTGTTTGCATTTGACACTAATAGTCTACGTGTCCCATGACGCTGCAGGAAAACCCTGTGTCTGTGTCGAGGGTTGAGTGTGTGTGCACACAGAGCTGATGTGGATTAGCAGCTGGATAATCTTCGGTTGAATGTGATTTTGCTAAGTCAATTAAACAAACCCCAAAGTACTGTGAGCTGCAGAGTTGAGATCTGCAGGACTTAAATTGTGTAGGATCTGCTTTGGTCAACAGCCACAGAGAGCTGCCTTACTTAAAGGGCTGCCGTTGGCTCAGCTGTGGGTCTGGAGGAAGTGCAGAGAGGGACAGAGAAACTGCTGGCCCTGGGCTTTGGGTGGTCTGTGATAGGGCCGACTGCATGTGCACTATGTGTCTTGTTCCTTACAGTCACCTGGCTTGGAAACTCTCTCTGTGATCTGACAGCTTGGGATAGCGACCACAGCAGGACAGGAATCGCTTACAGGGATCTTTTCTGGAACTATGGCATGACTGCCACAAAGTGGGCTTGCTGGCTGGCACATGACTGTGCTGCAATCGAAAATGTGCTCGCAGCAGAGTGGCTGCTCAGGCTGTTAGGGCACTAGCAGCCTGTAGAGAGCTGCCCAGGCTTCGGCCAGGGCTCTCGGCACAGCTCTCTGCCAAGTGCTCCCTGCCAGCACGTCCCACGCAAAGGTGGGAAGGGCTGCCCGTGGCTCCAGGCTGCCACGGTCTGATGTGCGTACAGCACCTGCCCGACAGTTCGGTTTGAGGCACAGAGGGCATGCTGGCAGCTGAGCTGCTTCCCCAGGAGCCCTGGGCGTGTGGAAACACGGTGGGTGAGGGGGGCAGCAGGGGGCAGGTGAGAGCCTTGCTGTGGGCACTGGCACTCGCCTTGGTGACGCGTTAAGGATGGGAAGGATCCCTGGCTGTTGCTCTGCCTCCAGCGCTGGCGAGTGTCCGCGTGTGCTGAAATACTCTATCTTGTGCAGCATGTTGCATGGGAGGCACTGACCTAATTAAAAGGAACTGTTCCAGGCTAGGAGTTGCCAGTTATGGCCTGCTAGAGGTCCTTCCCTGTGCGAAGGAACAGCTTGCAGCTCATCTCTGTTTTGCTAATCTAATTTTGTTAATCTTGCACTTTCGAGGGAGTTTCTTCCCACTCGTGGACCTGAAGAGGTGGGGGTGTGAAGCTCACTTTCATTCTCTTTCTGTCTGCCATTACATGTCTGTGGTAGAGACAGCAACTTGAAGACTTGCTGTATCTCATCTCCCATAACCATGTCAGCCTTGCTGTCGTCATATGCTGCTTCCCAAGACCCTCCACACTGCCCTTGCAGCTAGCCAGCCTCTGGCATGGCTGTAAAGTGTTGCAAACCTGTTGTTCTTGGGGACTCGTCCTGGTGTCCCAGCGTGGTCTGGGGGCCTCATTGAAGCCCTTTTTGGGCCTCTGCAGCAAGACTTTATAAGGAGTCTTCAGGGGTAGAAATAACAGGAAAGGTTTTCACTTCCAGAATTGACTGGATTGCAGTGGTGTACAGTCACTCTAAAGATCTGGTCTTGGTCTCAAGCCAAGCTCAACTTTTAAGAAGCTCTTCTGCCCTTGCAGTGCAAACATGAGATTTTCCCATGCCGTGCCTTCCCCACCTGTCTCACCCAGCCTTGGCTACAGCTGTCTCTGGAGACTGTTCAGGATGCTTATTGGTTGTGACACTTCTGAGGAGCCTGCTTTGAGATGGTGCTGGGGTTAGAGGGGGAAGTCTGCCATGATATCTTAGCTCTG